CTCACCCTCATTGTTCCACGCCCACATACTCTCCCTCATTGGTCCATGCCCACATACTCACCCTCATTGTTCCACGCCCACATACTCACCCTCATTGTTCCACGCCCACATACTCACCCTCATTGTTCCACGCCCACATACTCACCCCCATTGGTCCACGCCCACATACTCACCCTCATTGATCCACGCCCACATACTCGCCCTCATTGTTCCACGCCCACATACTCACCCCCATTGGTCCACGCCCACATACTCACCCTCATTGTTCCACGCCCACATACTCACCCTCATTGTTCCACGCCCACATACTCACCCCCATTGGTCCATGCCCACATACTCACCCTCATTGTTCCACGCCCACATACTCTCCCTCATTGTTCCACGCCCACATACTCACCCTCATTGGTCCACGCCCACATACTCACCCCCATTGGTCCACGCCCACATACTCACCCTCATTGTTCCACGCCCACATACTCACCCTCATTGTTCCACGCCCACATACTCACCCCCATTGGTCCACGCCCACATACTCACCCCCATTGGTCCACGCCCACATACTCACCCCCATTGGTCCACGCCCACATACTCTCCCTCATTGTTCCACGCCCACAAGTTCAAATCTCTTTCTTCCATAACCACTAAAGTTCAGATCTCAGTGTTCAAGTAATGCCAAAGGCTTCGTAGTCCTGCCTGCAGATCAAGCCTACGTTGCAGAGCTAAAGTTTCTTGTTGATTTTGTCAATGACATATGTAGAAGTCACATATTTACAACCTTGGAGTCAGGTATTTCTTAATACCTGACTACTGGATTAAGTCGTATCTACGCCATTAGTTTTGTACATATGTTACTCAGATCCTTATCCAAGAGGACAAAGGATAATCCTGAGTATTATCCTTTTTTTTTTTTTTTTTTGAGATATATACAAGAGTTGTTACATTCTTGTAGAGCCACTAGTACGCGTAGCGTTTCGGGCAGGTCCTTAATCCTATGGTCCCTGGAATACGATCCCCTGCCGCGAAGAATCGTTTTTTCATCCAAGTACACATTTTACTGTTGCGTTAAACAGAGGCTACAGTTAAGGAATTGCGCCCAGTAAATCCTCCCCGGCCAGGATACGAACCCATGACATAGCGCTCGCGGAACGCCAGGCGAGTGTCTTACCACTACACCACGGAGACTGCAAACTATTCTATTGGATAATTTCAGCAACGTGGAGAGGGGGGACCTGGTGCATGGTTAACAGCTTCTCCTCCATATCTACCTACCCTGACTTTGCGCCCTGTCAGGGCGCAACTCCATAGTCTTTAGACTGAAGGATGCCAAAAGACCAATGTATTACTACAGATTTCCACCACAAAAGTGTCTTTTTATTGCTTTTGAGGTGAAAAAAGCAGTTTTTTTCCCGTATAAGGTGATAATCTCCTTGAATACTTTTGCGCTCTGCGCGCGCAAGCGCCGCGTTACCTCGGGTGGTTATGGGCATTGAATCACCTCAATTCTCGTCCTAGGTTTTTCATTTTGGTTTCAATGTGCTCGCAATAGAATTCTCTACAGGACTAAATGCATGCTCCAAAAGCTCGGCGTATCATCCACAGGAAACAAAGAAAGTGACATTGCGTTATCCCTCGTGAGCGCTAATCAAGCACAGTAAAATGTGTATACTCTTTTCAACTTTATATATAATGCATATAAGGTCCAAAACCATAGCGTACCCCTCCCACAGCCAAGTGCGAATGCCGGGCAAAATTTTTAATTTTTGACGCAATACTGCGTCATTAGTGGACATTTAGCTACTAAAATTTTGACGCGATACTGCGTCATTAGTGGACATTTAGCTATTATTAAATTTTTGACGCGATACTGCGTCATTACTGGACATTTAGCTATTAAAATTTTGACGCGATACTGCGTCATTACTGGACATTTAGCTATTAAATTTTTGACGCCATACTGCGTCATTAGTGAACATTTAGCTATTAAATTTTTGACGCCATACTGCGTCATTAGTGAACATTTAGCTATTAAATTTTTGACGCGATACTGCGTCATTAGTGAACATTTAGCTATTAAAATTTTGACGCCATACTGCGTCATTAGTGGGCGATAGTGTGAATATATTCCCGTATGTAATCACCTCAACCATCCCATCTATACACTTCACCAAATGACTATCCATCCCGTCAACTTTCCTCCCCCAAAAAGTAGTGATCAATCCGTAGTCTAATCCCAATCCCACAGACGCTGATGCCTGTGCCTTCTTCTTCTTCCAGAGCTTCGCCAAGCACCACAGGATGAACGTCACAGAAGAGTACAGCGTCCCTTACGACTACACAACCACCCGCTACCACACCGTACAGGACTTTGTTAGAGACAGTCTCCACCACACCCGTAGTAAGTACCCTCGTAGCCCCTCGTGGGCCTCGTAGCCTGGTGGATAGCGCGCAGGACTCGTAATTCTGTGGCGCGGGTTCGATTCCCGCACGAGGCAGAAACAAATGGGCAAAGTTTCTTTCACCCTGGATGCCTCTGTTACCTAGCAGTAAATAGGTACCTGGGTGTTAGTCAGCTGTCACGGGCTGCTTCCTGGGGGTGGAGGCCTGGTCGAGGACCGGGCCGCGGGGACACTAAAGCCCCGAAATCATCTCAAGAACCTCAAGATAACCCCTTTAACCTCACGACAGCCGGGGTATTGAAGAGTTAATATCACTTTCGTGCTGAACGGAGTGAGAATATCTTGAGCTACCTCATCCCTTTGTGTGTATTTTGCCTCAATAAACTTATTTCAATTTCAGCCTTTTTCGTGGAGAAGGGTTAAAAATGAGATATAGTAATTGTTAATCAAAGGGCTCGTCCTGCTTCTGATATATGTTTGACCATTTCTGACACGGGAATTGTCCTCTTGGTATAAAAATATGTAGATGATCCAAAACTAATGGGAAAGTTAAGGGTCAGAGAGATACTGTAATGACCCATCAAAACATATTTTGAAAACTCCAAAACTGGTCTGAAAATTGACTGTTGCAAGAATTTAAGGCGGCCAAATGGGGAGTTATGAGAATTGGCACAGGATTCTTGAGGTTACCTTGAGATGATTTCGGGGCTTTAGTGTCCCCGCGGCCCGGTCCTCGACCAGACCTCCACCCCCAGGAAGCAGCCCGTGACAGCTGACTAATACCCAGGTACCTATTTTACTGCTAGGTAACAAGGGCATAGGGTGAAAGAAACTCTGCCCATTGTTTCTCGCCCGTGCCTGGGATCAAACCCAGGACCACAGGATCACAAGTCCAGCGTGCTGTCCGCTCAGCCGACCGGCTCCCAGGAGTGAGGTCTGTACATCAGCTTAAGATGAAGGGGAGATGTGTACATCAGCTTTTTGTCATCATTGTCCTGTTGTCAGAAATATTACATAAAAGATCATAGACTGTGCAAGCAGCCACAAAGTCTGCTAAATGAGGGGCAATGAAGTGCTGAGCAAGGCGGAAGAATTAAAAGAGAGAAACAGAAACCCAACATAATAGCAGTATTGGAAACAAAACTATCTGGAATGACCACAAATGCCAATCTTTGCAAGATGACACCGTATAGCGAGGAGATACAAACATGACAGGAGTAGAGAAGCTGTGGCATCATTTTTGGAAAAAAAGACTTAAAAGTTGTAAAGATCTAATCATTGACTCAGCCAATACAACAAAGGTGTGATTACATATGGGAAAAATGATGATAGCTGTGGTGACAAAGGTGTTCTACCCTCCGGAAAACACCAGTAGACCCAGACAACAGTTTGATGAAACAGAGACGGTAATTTAACATTTAACAAGGGAAGGGAACTATCAGGGGTAAAGCGCCAAGCCATTACGACTATATAGCCCTTGAAAGGGGTCAGGATATAAGGATTTGGGATGGGACGGAGGGAAAGGAATGGTGCCCAGCCACTTGTAGACCGTCGGGGATTGAACGCCGACCTGCATGGAAGAGAACTGTGCTCAGAAGCATGTTCGAAGGTTCTCTTCCTACCCTTAACAACCTGCAGAATATGTCCACCTGTAAGGGAAAAGTAATTAAGGCAACAAAGGTGAATGTATATCATTTAACCTTCAAGAGAGGACACAGAGAAGAGAAGATGCCACGTGTGTGTATATATATATATATATATATAATATATATATATATATATATATATATATATATATATATATATATATATATATATATATATATATATATATATATATATATATATATATATATATATGTCGTACCTAGTAGCCAGAACGCACTTCTCAGCTTATTATGCAAGGCCCGATTTGCCTAATAAGCCAAGTTTTCATGAATTAATTATTTTTCGACTACCTAACCTACCTAACCTATCCTAATATAACTTTTTCGGCTACCTAACCTAACCGAACCTATTAAGATAGGTTAGGTTAGGTTAGGTAGGGTTGGTTAGGTTCGGTCATATATCTACGTTAATTTTAACTCCAATAAAAAAGAATTGACCTCATACATAATGAAATGGGTAGCTTTATCATTTCGTAAGAAAAAAAATAGAGAAAATATATTATTTCAGGAAAACTTGGCTTATTAGGCAAATCAGGCCTTGCATAGTAGGCATAGAAGTGAGTTCTGGCTACTAGGTACGACATATATATATATATATATATATATATATATATATATATATATATATATATATATATATATATACCCCCGTATAAACCAGGACACGGATTCACGAAGCAGTTACGCAAACACTTACGAACTTGGACATCTTTTCTCAATCTTTGGCGGCTTTGTTTACAATTATTAAACAGTTAATGAGCTCGGAAGCACCAGGAGGCTGTTTATAACAATAACAACAGTTGATTGGCAAGTTTTCATGCTTGTAAACTGTTTAATAAATGTAACCAAAGCCGTCAAAGATTGAGGAAAGATGTACACGTTCGTAAGTGCTTGCGTAACTGCTTCGTGAATCTGGCCCCAGGTTCGTAAGTGCTTGCGTAACTGCTTCGTGAATCTGGCCCCTAGGTTCGTAAATGCTTGTGTAACTGCTTCGTGATTCTGGCCTCAGGTTCGTAAGTGCTTGTGTAACTGCTTCGTGAATCTGACCCCAGGTTCGTAAGTGCTTGCGTAACTGCTTCGTGAATCTGGGCCCAGGTTCGTAAGTGCTTGCGTAACTGCATCGTGAATCTGGCCCCAGGTTCGTAAGTGCTTGTGTAACTGCTTCGTGATTCTGGCCTCAGGTTCGTAAGTGCTTGCGTAACTGCTTCGTGAATCTGGCCCCAGGTTCGTAAGTGCTTGCGTAACTGCTTCGTGAATCTGGCCCCAGGTTCGTAAGTGTTTTGTGTAACTGCTTCGTGAATCTGGCCCCAGGGGTTCGTAAGTGCTTGCGTAACTGCTTCGTGATTCTGGCCTCAGGTTCGTAAGTGCTTGCGTAACTGCTTCGTGAATCTGGCCCCAGGTTCGTAAGTGCTTGCGTAACTGCTTCGTGAATCTGGCCCCAGGTTCGTAAGTGCTTGCGTAACTGCTTCGTGAATCTGGCCCCAGGTTCGTAAGTGCTTGTGTAACTGCTTCGTGATTCTGGCCTCAGGTTCGTAAGTGCTTGCGTAACTGCTTCGTGAATCTGGCCCCAGGTTCGTAAGTGCTTGCGTAACTGCTTCGTGAATCTGGCCCCAGGTTCGTAAGTGTTTGTGTAACTGCTTCGTGAATCTGGCCCCAGGTTCGTAAGTGCTTGTGTAACTGCTTCGTGAATCTGGCCCCAGGGTTCGTAAGTGCTTGCGTAACTGCTTCGTGATTCTGGCCTCAGGTTCGTAAGTGCTTGCGTAACTGCTTCGTGAATCTGGCCCCAGGTTCGTAAGTGCTTGCGTAACTGCTTCGTGAATCTGGCCCCAGGTTCGTAAGTGCTTGCGTAACTGCTTCGTGAATCAAGGACCATATCTGAAAAAATTATACTATCCAATTCAACACAAGAAAAGGTGTTTTAAAACTGTTTTTTTTTTTAACACATGTGCAACATTCAATGCCTCTGCGAGCAGCTGTCGAAAGCTTTTGGGCACAGCTTTCACTAAGCTGCCATGTTTACTGCCTTTGTCAAGTGCCCAAATGGTTAAGCTAGCGTGTATCTTAACCAGCTTAACTGTTATGGATTAGCATTAAGTATGATATATACATTAATATGACACAGGAGTATACTGAGAGATCCTGGAGTATGTTCAGGATACCTGATATTAATTTCCGAGCGCTCGGAGCCACACCCATAACACCAGTCTCCGAGCGCTTGGAGCCACACCCCTCACCCCTGAGCCACACCCCCTGAGACCAGTCTCCGAGCGCTCGAAGCCTCACCCCTGACACCAGTCTCCGAGCGCTCGGAGCCACACCCCTCCGAGCGAGCCTCACTAGTCTCCGAGCGCTCGGAGCCACACCCCTGAGACTAGTTTCCGAGCGCTCAGAGCCACACCCCTGAGACTAGTCTCCGAGCGCTTGGAGCCACACCCCCTGACACTAGTCTCCGAGCGCTTGGAGCCACACCCCCGGACACTAGTCTCCGAGCGCTCGGAGCCACACCCCCTGACACCAGTCTCCGAGCGCTCGGAGCCACACCCCCTGACACCAGTCTCCGAGCGCTCGGAGCCACACCCCCTGACACCAGTCTCCGAGCGCTCGGAGCCCACACCCCCTGACACCAGTCTCCGAGCGCTCAGAGCCTCACCCCCTGACACCAGTCTCCGAGCGCTCGGAGCCACACCCCCCTGACACCAGTCTCCGAGCGCTCGGAGCCACTAGTCTCCGAGCGCTCGGAGCCACACCCCCTGACACCAGTCTCCGAGCGCTCGGAGCCACACCCCCTGACACCAGTCTCCGAGCGCTCAGAGCCTCACCCCTGACACCAGTCTCCGAGCGCTCGGAGCCTCACCCCCTGACACCAGTCTCCGAGCGCTCGGAGCCACACCCTCTGACACCAGTCTTTGAGCGCTCGGAGCCTCACCCCTGACACTAGTCTCCGAGCGCTCGGAGCCACACCCCCTGACACCAGTCTCCGAGCGTTCGGAGCCTCACCCCCTGACACCAGTCTCCGAGCGCTCGGAGCCACACCCCCTGACACCAGTCTCCGAGCGCTCGGAGCCACACCCCCTGACACTAGTCTCCGAGCGCTCGGAGCCACACCCCCTGACACCAGTCTCCGAGCGCTCGGAGCCTCACCCCTTGACACCAGTCTCCGAGCGCTCGGAGCCTCACCCCCTAACACCAGGCTCCGAGCGCTCGGAGCCACACCCCCTGACACCAGTCTCCGAGCGCTCGGAGCCACACCCCCTGACACCAGGCTCCGAGCGCTCGAAACCCCAAAACATTATAGTCATCTCCGCTTCTAAACATATCGATATCATCACTAC